TTCTCCCTCTGCCTGTGTCTCTGCCTCTCTGTGTGTGTGTCTCTCATGAATAAATAAATAAATAAAAATCCTTTAAAAAATTTTTTTAAAAGAGGGGTGTCTGGGTGGCTCAGTGGTTGAGCATCTACCTTCGGCTCAAGGTGTGATCCCAGGGTCCTGGGATCGAGTTCTGCATCGGGCTCCCTGCGAGGAGCCCGCTTCTCCCTCTGCCTGTGTCTCTGCCCCTCTCTCTCTCTCTCTCTCTGTGTCTCTCATAAATAAATAAATAAATAAATAAATAAATAAATAAATAAATAAATAAAATCTTAAAAAAAGGAAAACAATTCCACTCACAATAGCATCATAAAAAATAAAATACTCAGGAATAAATGTAACAGTGACGCCTGGGTGGCTCAGTGGTTGAGCGCCTGCCTTTGGCTCAGGGCAATGATACTCGAGTCCCTCGTCGAGCTCCCTGCATGGAGCCTCTTTCTCCCTCTGCCTGTGTCTCTGCTTCTCTCTGTGTGTCTCTCATGAATAAATAAATAAAATATTTTTTTTAAAAAGGAATAAGTGTGAGCAGCCCAGGTGGCTCAGCGGTTTAGGGCCGCCTTCAGCCCAGGGCATGATCCTGGGGTCCCGGGATGGAGTCCCATGTCGGGCTCCCCGCATGGAGCCTGCTTCTCCCTCTGCCTGTGTCTCTCTCTTTCTCTCTACTCTCTGTGTCTCTCATGAATACATAAATAAAATCTTTAAAAAAAATCTTTATAAAAATAAATTAAACAAATAAAAATAAAAAAATAAAGGAATAAATGTAACAAAAGTACAAAACCTCGTTTAAAGAAATTGAAGACCCATTTGGAAAGACATTCCATGTTCATGGGTAATACTCTACCTAAATCGATCTACAGATTGAATTCAATTCCTACAAAATTGCAGCTGGCTTTTTTTGAGAAACTGGCAAGCTGATCCGAAAATTCATATAGAAACTTAAGGGACCCAGAATAACCAGAACAATCTTGAAGAATACAAAATTGGAAGACTCACACTTGATTTTAAAATTTATTTACAGGGGCACGTGGGTGGCTCAGTTGGTTAAAGCATTGGACTCTTGGATTGCGCTCAGGTCGTGAGCTCAGGGTCATGAGGTGGAGCCCTGCATCAGGCTCCTCACCCAGCATGGAGGCTGCTTGAGATTCTCTCCTCCTCCCTCTGCCCCTCCTCCTGCTCATGCTCTCATTCTCTCTCTCTCTCTCTCTCTCTCTCTCAAATAAATAAATAAATAAATAAATAAATAAATAAATAAATCTTTTTAAAGATCCTAAAAATAAAATTTACTTACAAATCCACAGTAAAAGCAGAAGGGTACTGGCATAAAGATAGGCATTTCTCCAGAAAAGATAAACAAATGGCCAATGGTGCATGAAAAAATACTCAGCATCACTTAGGCATCAGGAACTGCAAATCAAAACCACAATGAAAAAAAAACCACAATGATACCGCCTCACGCATGGTAGGATGGCTCTAATCAAAAATGTGCGTTGGGGGGATATGGGGAAAGTGGAACCCTGTGACATTCCCAGTAGGAATGTGAAGTGGCTTAGCCCCTGTGGGAAAGGGTTCGGCAGGTTCTCAAAAAATGAAACAGAATTTACCCTACGATCCAGCAATTCCATTTCAGGCTATATACCCAAAAGAATTAAAAGCAGGGACTCGGGGTGCCTGGCTGGCTCAGTCGGTGAAGTGTACTGCTCTTGATCTCAGGGTTGTGGGGCTGAGCCCCACGTTGGGTATAGAGATTACTTTTTAAAAATCTTTTAAAAAATAAATAAAAGCAGGGACTCAAACAGATATTTGTACACTCACATTCACAGCAGCATTATTCACAATAGTCAAAAGGTGGAAGCAACCCCCATGTCCACCAACGGGTGAATGGATACTGCGTGGTATAGTCACACAATGGAGTATTATCCAGCAATAAAAAGAAATTTAGGGGGAGCCTGGCTGGCTCAGTTGGAAAAGCATCTGACTCTTGATCTCAGGTTGTGGGTTTGAGCCCCACGTTGGGTGTAGACATTACTTTACAAAAACATTTTTAAAAACATGATAAAAGAAAGAAGCCACATATAGAAATCATACATTGTATGGTTCCTACAGTTCACGAAGATGAAATGTCTGGAACAGGTAAATCCATAGAAAGTAGATGAGTGGTTGCCAGGGGCTGGGAGGTGTTGGGAGAAATGGGTACGGGAGTGCTAAAGGCGGGGTTTCTTTTTAAGGTAATGAGAATGTTCTGGAATGAGACAGTGGTGATGGCTGCACAAGTCTCTGAATCTATTAAAAACCACTGACTGCACACTTTACCAGGGTGTGCGAATTTTAGCTCAATAAACCTGTAGGTTGTTTTGTGCCCGTGGAACCCAAGGCTGGGACAGACACCTGGCGTTAATGTGGGGGTTGGAGAACCCAAGAAGAGGCCCCAGGGAGTCCGGGTCCTGGCACAAGGAAGTCCCCTGGCAAAGTGATGCGGGTGTGCATGTGCATTTCCCTGGGCTGCACTGGACCCCCCTGGGGTCCCCACAGGGTGCAAGGCCGCAGGCACGTACAGACCGGACAGGAGAAGCACCACTGTCGCTAGGGGAGGACCAGTGTTGAGGGGAGGACGGGAGTCAGGCAAGGGGTCCGACTGGTCTTTTGAGACAAAAGCTTCTTTCTGCTCTGAGAAGAGGGTCGGATTGGGCCAGGAAACCCCTCCTTGGTCTGTCTGGGGCTCCAGCCCCCGGAAACGGGGTCTTCTTGGACTACTAATGGTTTTCCCTGCTTTCCGGCTCCTTTTTATTCACTCTTTCTTTTGTCTCCCCTTTATTTTATTTTATTTTATTTTATTTTATTTTATTTTATTTTGGGAGGGAGGGAGGTGCAGAGGGAGAGGGAGAGAATCTTAAGCAGGCTCCATGCCCAGGCACCACGCGGGGCTCAATGTCACCACGCTGAGATCAGGACCTGAGCAGAAATCAAGAGCCTGGGCCACCCAGGCGCCCCTCCCCTTCATTTTCACGGATAGTCCCTCTTTTAAAACTGCATCCCAGGCTCTGATTCTGCCCAAACTTCAAAGCAGGAGCTTTAAAAGGGAGCGATGTCCCCAGGCACTGGCCTGTGATGGCTGCGGCTCAGAGCAGAAAATTGCAGAGGGCAGTTGGCCTGTGTCCCCAAGAGCCTGGGGCTCTCTCTCAAGAACCTTCCTGCCGGGGGTTCATCTCAAACCCTCCTCCAACAAGGAGCCTCCCTGAGGGCAGTCCCAGCCCAACTGTGGCAGCCTCCCCAACTGACTGCCAGGGGGAGCCCCGAGGGTCGCCTCAGTGTGGCCCCTCAACCAAGGCTCCTTTCAAGCCTGTAGGGCAGCGCGGGGCGCTCTCCACGCATCCCCATGAGGTCGGCCTTACGCGAAATACTACCTCAATCCCTGTCTGAGGAAGTCAAGAGCGCACAGCTTTGGAATCGCTGGCCGTTTGGTGGAAGATTCCAAGAAAGAAAGCGGTGAGGGTGGGATCCCACGGCGGCACCAACCAACCAGTGCAGCCCGGGTGCCCACCACTGGGATTCCCGCGGGCTGCCTTTCGGTCCCGGCCCGGGTCATCACCGAGCCCGGTTCCACGAGCGGGCAATGACAATGGCCAGGCAAGATTTCCAGGGAACAGGCCGAGAGGAACAGTCCGGGGGGCGCACGGCGAGAATGGAAGAAAGGCGGGGGGCAGCGAGGGGCAGCGAGCGCCCCCGGGGACAGGGCTTCAGGGGAGGTGGGTGGCGCGACCAGGGCAGAGCAAGGTTCCCCGTCCTGCCCCCGCCCGCTCCCGGCGGCCTCAACGGGGCTCCCGCGGCCTCCCCCATCCCCCCCCCAGACACCGATCCCGCCCCCCGCGCCCCCGCGGATGCTTACAGGAGTTCCCCCCATTCTTCTAAGGAGACCTCATTGCCCCGGCCCACGCCGCGCCCAGCAGCGCCCGCTCCCCGGTCGTGACCCAGAAACCCGGAGTTGAAGTGCATACCTGTCTGCGCCCGGTCCGCCCCTGGGTCCCGACTGCCTCCGACCTTGAACTCCCGCCACTTGGCCCCGGGGGCGTCTCAGGCCACACCATCCGGGACATTTCCCTGGACACCTCTCTGAGCGCACACAGAAAGTACACACACGCGGGGCCGGAGGAGCCTCCGCGCACACACAGACGGGGCACAGGCACGCACTCACGAAGTCACGCCACGCACAGGCAAGGAAGCCCCGCTCCGGGCCACCGGGCTGGGCTTGGGTTCCGCGCGCGCGGCCGGGCGGATCCCCTCCCGCCGGCCCGCCCGAGCACCCCCCGGCCCACGCCCCGCGCGGCTCCGGACCCGAGGCCCCGCAGGGCGGAGAGCGAGCGGGGCACCGCTGCCCGCAGGCAGCCTCCCCGTCGCGGAGCCCGCGGCACCCGGCCTGGGCGCGCACCGTTTGGGCAGGGCCGGAGCGGAGCGGCTGCCAGGACGAGCGCCCCGGCCCCAGCGCCCCCGCGCGCTCCGGCGCCCCTCGCCCGCGGGGCCCTGGATTTGGCCGCCGCCCGCGCCGCGGGTGCCCAGCTCCCTCCCCCGCCCTGGGTCCAGCGGGGCGAGCGTGTGCAGGGAACGGAGCCCGTTGCTATGCAACCTCCATCCCGCGCCGGCGCCGGCAGCACCGCGCCTCCCCGCTCCCCGGCCGGGGTGCAAGCGCGCCGGCCCCGGGCCGAGCCCAACTTCCCGAACCAGGCCGATCCGGACCCAGGGTTCAGGCCCCCAGTCTACTCCGGGCGCCCGGGGGATGCGCGCGGCACCCCAGCCCCACGCAGCTGCCCCCATTTGTGCGCGCTTCCCACGGAGCGCCAACACCCAGCCGCCCCCCGAATTGAGGGCGGGAATGGCTCCCTACCTCCTCCTCTCCGCGCCCTCCAGCCCTCCCGGGTCGGCGACCGGCTGCCTCCCCAGGTGGCGCCCACGCCCCCCGCCGCGGCGGCCCCTACCTGAAGCATCACTTTGTACTGCTCCTCCGGTTTCTGAACCACGCACATATTACATCCCATGGTGCTGGCCAGCGAGGGGAGGAGGGCGGCAGCGGGAAGACGCCTTTCAGTGGCCGGAGTGCGGGACCGCGGGTCCCGGGCCGCGGCCGGGGGCCATACCCTAGCGCAGGGGGCGGGCCGCCGAGCGGGGGAGGGGAGGACGCCCCCCAGGGAGGGGCCGCTCCACGCCCCTCCGGTTACCTCGGCCGGCGGAGGCCAGGCGCGGGCATGCTCCCTCGCACCCGGCCAGGAGAAAAAGGGCAGCGGGGGATGGGCGGGCGCGCCGGGCGTTGCTGGGCGACGGCCCCCCAGGAGGCGCGGGGGCGCGCCGGGCCGCCGGGGGCCGTCAGGGGCCGTGGGCCGCGCGCCTCCCCGCCCGCGGGGCCCGCCGCTGCCGCTGCCGCTGCCGCTGCCGCTGCCGCCTCCGGCTCCCACCCATGGCCACCGGCCCCGGGAGCCCGGCCCTCGCGCTCGGCGCCGCGGCCCGGCCCGCCGAATGGGGGGCGGCGGCGCGGCGGCGGCCCCCGCCCGCGGCCAGGCCCGCGCCCACGCTCCCGCCTCGCCCGGCCGCGCTCACGGCGCTCCCGATGCCCGCTCTCCGGCCCGCAGTCGGCCCCGCAGTCTCCGGCTCCCGCCCGGGACGACGGGCACGCGCGCGGCGGCGGCGGGGGGGAGGGGCGCGGGGACGGGGCGCACGCGCGCGGGGGAGGGGAGCGGGGCGGGGTGGCAGCCGAGCGGCGGGGGCCGCGGGAGCCGGCGCGGAAAGCCGGGGGCGGGGCCTCGGCCGGGGTGCTAGGGGCTCCGGCGCCCCGCTCCCCGCTCCCCGCTCCCGACGGCGTCGGGTGTCCGGGCTCACCGCTCCGGCCGCGCGCCCGCCGCGGGGCGGGCCCGGGAGGCGGGGGGCCTGGCCCCAGCAAGGCGCCTCCGGGGTCCCCCGAGAGCTCGGGGCCGCGATCGCAGCCCGCTTCCCGGGGCCCCCACGCCGCAGCCCGCGTGCCTCTACCCTCCCTCCGACCTCCCTTCAGTGACTGCTTCCCTCCCTCCGCTCGGCCCTCCCTCGCTATCCTTTACACCGACACCTTTGTTAAGATAAAAAGAAGGGGGAGAAGAGAGGGCGCAGAGCCCGCCACATGGCTTGGGGTGCCCTGGGAGCCCCGCGCGCGCGGGGCCGCCCCCCCCCCCGTCCGCCGCCTACCTGTCTCCGCCGCAGCCCCGCGCTCGGGCTGTCCCCCCATCTCTTGCTCTTCTCTGCCACTGCCTGCCCTCTCCTCGGACCAGCCCGAGAGAAGGCCCTCGCCTGGGAAGCAGCGTGGGACTGGGGGCTCGTTTCCCAGGGGTGCCCGGGCAGAGCCGCTGCGCCCGAGCCCCAGGCTGCGGAAGGTCGCTTGATTAAATTGCCGCACGCTTCATTTCCAGGCTTTGGCAAGTGATGGGATCATTAACCGCACGGAGCCGTTTAATTAGACGGCAGCGGTTGGGGAAGGCCCCTCCAAAGCCCTCTTCCTCCCCGACTCCTGGGTTAGAGGCTAGGAATCGGGACGCCGGGCCTGCTGCGGGGTCTGGAGAAGGGCAAGGAGTGTCCGGGACAGCAGCCCCCGGGGCAAGGGCTGGTGCACCGGTGGCTTACATTGACGGTGGTCTCAGGGGAGGAGAGCCGAGGGCCGGTACAAGGGTACATTCAGGTTGGAGGGGCTCAGAGCCGCGGGGACTTGACCCTGCGAGGAGGCGGACAGAGTGCATCTGCGAATCCTCGGCCCCAAACCCAAAGACGGCCCCAAACCCAAAGACGGCCCCAAACCCAAAGACGGTACTGCTGTGCTAGGACGGCCCACAACCCTGGTGGCTTACAACAGAAACGTGTTTTTTCCAGTTCTGGAGGTTCCAAGTCCAAAATCAAGGTGCGGGCAGGGCCGTGCTCCCTCTGAAGGCTCAGCGGAGGGTCCTTCCCTGCCCCTTCCTCCCTTCTTGGTGGCTCCCAACAACCATTGCTGTTCCCTGGCTTGTAGCAGCATCACACCAATCTTTGCATCTGTCCTCACCTGGCCTTCTTCCCCTCGTGTCTCCTCTGTGTCTCCAACTTTCCCGTTTCTTATATGGACACCGGTCGTTGCATTTAGGGCTCACCCTACTCCAGCATGACCTCCCCCTAACTGATCACATGTTCAAGGGCACTAATTCAAAATATGATCACGTTCACAGCTACCAGGGATTGGGGCTTGAACTTTGTGGAGGGCATAATTGTACCCACCACACAGGGCGGAGGGGAGATTTAAGGACTACATAGACTGCTTCTTGATGAGTGGAGGGACCAAGTCACGTTGCATAGTAATGTAAATGTCTGCGAACACGTGAATGGGAGGACTTTGTGGCCATTTTACCATTGACCTCACCTCCATCACCTGTTCTAGATTCCCCCATCCCTGGAAAACCTCACTGCCAGGCTAAGTTTTTTTCCTGGAGGGCTGAACTGGATCTTCATCCTACGTACGTCTGAACCTTTCATTGCTTTCCTCCTTGGCGGGCCACAGTTGTGCAATTGTCTATTTACAAAACACCCAGAGACACCCTATCGAATGTCCTCAGTGGCAGGCATACTTCTTGTCCTTAGAGAGCAGCAGTGCTAGCTCCTGACGCACACGGGATCAACTGCCCCACCAATATGACAATCTTTTCTTTTTTTTTTTTCTTTTTTTTTTTTAATTTATGATAGTCACACAGAGAGAGAGAGACAGAGAGAGGCAGAGACACAGGCAGAGGGAGAAGCAGGCTCCATGCACCGGGAGCCTGACGTGGGACTCAATCCCGGGTCTCCAGGATCGTGCCCTGGGCCGAAGGCAGGCGCCAAACCGCTGCGCCACCCAGGGATCCCCCGACAATCTTTTCTTGACTGGATGTTCCATGGGCTTTAGGAACCTACGTTGACCAGATAATAATTTTTGTTGTTGTTGTTAGGATTTTATTTATTGGGACACCTGGGTGGCTCAATGGTGGAGCATCTGCCTTCAGCCCAGGGCATGATCCTGGAGTCCTGGGATTGAGTCCCACCCCGGGTTTCCTGCATGGAGGCTGCTTCTCACTCTGCCTGTGTGTGTGTGTGTGTGTGTGTGTGTCATGAATTTTATTTATTTATTCATGAAAGACGACACAGGGAGAGGCAGAGACACAGGCAGAGAGAGAGGGAAAAGCAGGCTTACCACGAGGAGCCTGATGCTGGGCTCAATCCCAGGGCCCTGGGATCACAACTCAAGCCAAAGCCAAAGGCAGACGCTCCACCACTGAGCCACCCAGGCAGCCCCCCCCCCAGATTATAGCTTTTGTTTCAAGTTCAGCAGAGCCCTTACCATGACCCTTGATGGAAGCAGTACCGTATCCCAAGAAGCAGGACTTCAAGCCCAGGAAGGCCTAAGGTTTCAGAAATGGGAAACCCTAATTCAAGTAGGTCACTGGAAATGATGGGGAGAGCAGCCAGTCTTGCTAGGTTCACAGCACCACGTATGATTATTAATTCACTGCCTTTGTCACCTTGTGGAGTAAGGTCCCCCAATGCCATAAGGTGCTTTCCCTGAGCCAGAATCTTTGCTGAGCCTTCAATAGGCCCTGGGTGCTTCTGGGTGATGCAGTATAGGGCAGGGCCAGTGGCTCCCATGCACAAGTGCTTATTGTCACACCATCGTTCTTGGAAAGAGTCCCTTACTCCGAAGTATTGTGTGGCATAGCATGTCATTAGATCAGGTGTTGTGTAAGCCCTCGGATGGATTGCTAGCAAAGATGTTGTGCACAGGGAAGGCAAATCCAAATCCAACGTGTGAATTATCACTGCCCCCTCTGGGGGGAGAGGAATCCTGAGGTAACCTTCCTGCTACCAAATGGTTGCCTGGTCCTCTTGAGGAATGGCGCCATACCAGGAACTCAGCATTGGTCTCTGCTGCTGGTGGGTTGGGCATTGCGTAGTGGCAGTGTGGGGATCAGCCGTGCTGAGAGAGAACCCTTCCCTTTGGGTCCGTGCAGAACCTCCAGCCCTTCCCACCAAGGCCACTGCCTTCATGGTCAGCTGGTTGACCTCCACCATGGGGTTCCCTCCATTTGCCTGGTGGCAGAGTTTGAGTTACCGCTGTGCGGAGGGCCATTGGTGGAGACACAGAAATCCACATAGCCTTCTTTTTTTAAAGCTTTTATTTATTTATTCATGAGAGACACACAAAGAGAGGCAGAGGCACAGGCAGAGGGAGAAGCGGGCTCCCTGCAGGGAGCCCCATGCAGGACTCGATCCCCGGACCCTGGGATCAGGCCCTGAGCTGAAGGCAGACGCTCAACCACTGAGCCACCCGGGCGTCCCTCCACATACCCTTCTTATGCACTCCCCGAGGTACATTAGATATATCCACACACCTCTCCTCCAAGCCTTCTGATCGCTGATTGTAACATTGTGGTTTATAAAGAAAAATATATATATTATTTAGTCTTTGTTTTGTCCCAAATATCCTAAAACTCTTGGAATTTCCTGTGATGAGAGCAATAAAGGTGTCTTTTGTTATGTGAATGAGGGGACTTTGGGACCACACCTAAGGATGGGGGATGGTTGCCTGGAGAAGCAACTGAATAATTAGAAGGTTGGGACTTTCTGGCCTCCTTCCCTGACCTCCAAGCAGGGAAGAGGGGCTGGAGGTTGAATCTATGGCCAATGATCTGATCAATCATGCTTTTGTAACGAAGCCTCCTTTAAAATTCAAAAGGAGCAGGGTTTAGAGACCCGGATTGCAGGTACAGGAGAGCGGCCTGCTTGAAAAGAACATGGAAGCCCTGTGCCTTTTCCCCATACCTTGTATTACAGATCTCTTCTTTTTTTAAAAAAAAAATATTTTATTCGGGATCCCTGCATGGAGCCTGCTTCTCCCTCTGCCTTTCTCTCTCTGTGTGTCATTCATGAAAAAATAAATCAATAAAATATTTTTAAATATTTTATTTATTTATTCATGAGAGACACAGAGAGGCAGAGACAGGCAGAGGGAGAAGCAGGCTCCCCACAGGGAGCCTGATGCGGGACTCGATTCCTGAACCCTGGCATCATGACCTGAGCCAAAGGCAGCCACTCAACCACTGAGCCACCCAGGTGCCCCTTACCTATCTCTTCAATCGGGCTGTTACCGAGTTATAATAAACTGGTGATCGAGTAAGTGTCTCTGCGTCCTGTGAGCTGCTCCAGCAAATTAATCCAACCCGCAGAGGGGGTCTTGGGAACCTCTGATTTATGGCCAGTCGGTAAAAAGTACAGGTAGGAACCTGGACTTGGGGGACGCCTGGGTGGTTCAGTAAATTCAGCGTCTGCCTTCGGCTTGGGTCATGGTCTCGGGGTCCTGGGATGGAACCCT